GCCTGGAGGGGGGGGCGGGGCCATTGGCAGGGCAGCAGGGCGGGACGTCGTTCGGCTTCAGGGTGCGGTGATCCTTCTCCCCGCCTCTCCCCACCCTCGACGGGTCTCCAAATCCCGCCGGCGGTCGCCTTTCTTCTCCGGATGTTGGCAAGCGCTGGTACCTTTCCGGAAGGAAGTCTGCATAGTGTTTTCGGGTGGGGATGGGGGCGCGAGCGACCCCGAGTGAGAGCCGCGGACGAGGTCCCCTCGGAGAAGGCTGAGCCGGACCAGAAGCAGCCCGTACACTACCGCTGTAACGGAAAATATCACGCCATCCACACCCAGCCTCTTCCTCGGAAGAACTTGTGGAGTGGGGCTGGGCTCGCAGAGGCGTTGAGAACTTGGCAATGACGTGCAGCCTCAGGCGCAGGGCACCTGAGCGTAGCCCAGGCCCTTCTCTCCTTGGTGTCTGCAGATTTGGCCCGGGCAGAATAGCCGGTTATAATCCAGTATTTTGGCAAATCCTTTACGCTCTTAGAGCCGATGCTACCCACTTGCCTTGCCTCGCAGTGCGCCCCAAATCTGTATTTTGGTTCATCTCACAACTGAAGTGGCATGTGACGGATGCAGACTGGCCAGGCTGAGTGCTGACTTGGGTGGGACCGGTCTGAGGTGGACAGAGGGACCTGGAACATTGAAAAAGCAGGTGAATGCCTCCCTTAGTGCTCCAGGTGTTGCAGATCTTTTATAAGAGAGCACTTTGAGGGCTGGAGAGATGGCTCAGCGATTAAGAGCACTGATTGCTCTTGCAGAGGACCTGGGTTCAATTCCCAGCACCCACATGGCGGCGGCTACAAATCATCCTTAACTCCAGTTCCAGGGGAATCCGAAGCCCTCTTCTGACCTGCAGCATTGCACGACACGGGGGCACTCACATACATACAGGCAATACACTCATACACATGAAATAAAGATATTTTTTTAAAGAAAGCACTTTGAGGGTAAATTCCCAAAACTGTTGTGACCTCAGATAAACCTTAGCAATGTAGATGTGACTGTAGCAATCGGCTCTAAATTTGCAAAGACTTGAATCTGTAGCTACATTCAGTCAGCTGGTAAACACTTCCCAGCATCCACCATGAGCTTTAAAAAGCAGTTGCACATTTAGAGTTGGTTCTACTTCTGAAAAATCTGGCGCTGGGTGTTTTGGATGGAATAGGAAATGCTTCCAAGTGTGGAATGGGAAATACTTAATGTGCATGTTTGTCCCTAACGCCTAATGTTGAAACCCAGTCACCTAGGTGATCCGATTAAGAAAGGTGGAGACTTTGGGAGGTGATTGGGTCAGGAGAGCAGACGTCACATCAATGAGATTAGCGCCATTCTAAAAGTGGCCTGAGGGAATTTTTCACCCCCTTCTACTATGAAGAAACAGTAAGAAGACCCAATCTGTGAGACCAAGGGTCCTCACCAGACACCAAATAAGCCACTGGCTTTATCCTGGACTTCCCAGCCTCCAGAACTGACAGATTTGTTGTTCATAAATTAAGTAGCCCAAGATACTTTGTTACAGCAACAAGACAGGACCAAGGTGTCTACTTGACAGTGTTTTTTTCACACTGACCTTGTTTGCTGATTTCCATGCTATTATCTGAATGGATGCTTTGCTCTCTGTTTTGAGACAGAGTCTCACTATGTAGCACACAAGGTCTTCCAGTTGTTTTGCCTCAGCCTCCCTGGTGCTAGGATGACAGGTTGTACCACCATGCTGGGTGCTTGCTTTGTTTAGTGATAGCTCTCTAACCAAACCAGTAAAAGTTCTCCAAACATGCCAGGGCTTCTTTGCTTAGATGTCCTAGTCTCCCTGTAAAAGAAATGTGAAAAGTGTCAGAATTAAGACAGAGGCACTCATGTCAACCCTTAAAAAAAAAAAAAAAATCTGAGACGTTATTGTTCAATCACAGACACACACCATTTGATTACTGTGGCCACAGAGTATCGTTTCCAAATATATGACCTCATTTTTGTCTTTAAAACTTCCCCTCACTGGTATGGTGGCACAGTCCTGTACTGCCAGCACTTAAAGGACAGAGGCAGGATGATTACAAGTTCAAGATCAATCTGATTTATATATCAAGTTCTGGGCCGGGCTGAACTGGATGTATAGTGAGAACTTGTCTCAAAAAACCAAGCAGCCAGGCATGGTGGCATACTCCTGTAATCCGGTCACTTGGGAAGTTGAAGGAGGGCTTTACAGCTTTACAGTGAATTTGAATACATGAGACCCTGACTCAATAAACCAAACATGAAAATGAATGAAATAAAGCATAAAACTTGCACTTGCTGAAACTTCCTTGAGAATACCATAGTTTGCAGTTACACGTGTATTCCCATCCCAATGCCATTCCTAAATATCATTCTTTGGAGACCCTCTCTGTTCTTTGAACTGAGGGTGACATTTCATTTGCACGAGATGCCTTCTGACCTTTCTTTCCTGGGCAGATTTTATTCCCCCCCAAGATTCCCTTCACATTTCATCTTCTTCACCCACCTGGACAGACATAATGCCCTTATCCTCACACTTTCCAGGGGTCCCAAGACTGTGCCCCTTTTTTGCCATTCCACCAAGAATCAACAAGCTCGTCTCACAACTAAGACTCCTGACTACATATATCTGTGAGTCTTTTACTTCACGAGATGGTTTACAAACTATTGAGTATTTAGTTTGTGATAGACCATACCCTTACAGAGTTTATACTCTAGAGGCAAGATAGATACCTACACAGTTATAGGAGTGTTTGATAGATGCTACAAAGTGGTCACAGAAAAGCATACGTTAGAAGTAAGGTGTAGCTCCAATTTATACCCGAGGGCCTAGCATACTTCCTACGATATGGAAACACTGAGTTTATACTTATGCAATAAATTTTGGTTAGAGAATCTTTTAAAAAGCACATACATACCTATAATCCCAGCACTTAGGTGTTAGGGGCAGGAGACCTGTTGCAAGTTCCAAGGCACCCCAGACTACACAGCAAGTTCTAGGCCACACAGGCTACACAGTGAGAACGCAGCTCAAAAACAAAAAGCAAACAGGAAAGCTTCTTTACCCACCCTCCTCAGGGATGCTCTTTTCATGCATCCTTTATTTTCTGTATGTCCATGTCTTTGACCTAGAGTAACTCAAGGGTGAAGCAGAGGTTAGAACCATCCATTCAGGCAGCATTTTCAAATTTATTGCAAATGTCACATGTATCAGGCATATGGAATATTTGGAGTACTTGGAACAGTGACTAACAGAGATCTACTCACCTAATTAAAAGATGGACTTCAGGGTCTAGAGAGATGGCTCAGAGGTTAAGAGCACAGACTGCTCTTGCAAAGGACTTGGGTTCCATTCCCAGCACCCACATGGCTGCTAACTGTAATTCCAGTTCCAGGGGATCCGACACCCTCTTCTGACCTCCACAGGCATTGCATGACATGGGTGTACCTACATTACACTAATACACATAAAATAAAAATATTTTTTAGAAGATGGACCCCAAAGAGGGGTTTAAAAGTAAGTTGGGAGCTGGGGAGATGGCTTAGTAAGGTGCTGCACAAGTATGAGGACCTGAGTTCAAATCCCCAACACCCATGTAAAAGCCGGGCATGGTGGCACATGTCTGTAACCTGAGTGTTTGCAAGGGCAGAGATAGGTGGGTCCTCAGAGCTCACTGGCCAGCTGATCTTGCCCATCAGTGAACACTGGATTCAGTAAGAGACCCTGTCTCTAATTAATGAATTAATAAAATGGAATAGATCTAGAAGAGGGCTCACCTGATCTGCTTTCTATGGATAATTACCTTGTAGCTATGAACCAGTCACTTTTTGATAAATTAATATTTGCATGAGGAAAGAATCAGAATCTGCCTGGCTTTGAGACTGAACTGGCTATAAATTAGGCAAAGCTATGGAAAGATTTAACAAAAGGCTGTAAATTGGCCTGCGTCCATTTCCCTGCTTCTCCTGATGGTCTGTCAGTTTCCACTTTAGCGGACTGATGGCATGCTATAAACTGTGGTTAAGTCTTCACGATGAAATCTGATTTGCCAGTTCTTCCCCTGCCACTTCATTTGTTTTCTACAATCCCTGTTTTCCTCACACCTCTCCTTCCCTCATTTTTATTAATTAATTAATTAATTAATTAATTAATTTTTGCTTCTTTCTTTAGAGTACAAACTGTAGTCAAGGTGAATCTAGTTAATTAGTCAAAAACAATTTTTTGAGTATCTTGTGTTCTAAGATTCTAGAGGGACACAAGAATGAAAACCAAGCTAAGACAAAGACAAAACAAAAAATAAGCAAAGGAGAGGAGGAGGAGGAGGAGGAGGAGGAGGAGGAGGAAGAGGAGGAGGAGGAGGAAGAGGAGGAGGAGGAGAAGGAAGAAGAGGAGGAGGAAGAGGAG